ACTAATTATAAAACTCTAAGCATATATAAGTAGATATTTCTAAGCATAAATGACAATCAACATTACAAAACCTAACATACTCCCTCCCAAACGCTTGATTGCAGGGGAGAGGAGTATAACGGTTGCCACCAAGCATTATTAAATAAGTGTCAGCAAGTCTGCTTCCCTTCAGGAACCCCTGCCCACCTTCTACTCAACGTCACAAAGAGGAAGGAAAAAGCAGACAAGGTCATCACACTCATGCAGCCAGATCCTGAGCCCCTGATTCCCAATCCTGAGGGCAAGGGTAACATGTTTTCTGAGCCCATGAACCCTGTGCTTGAATTCAAAATTCCGGATGAATAATCCGGTCAAAAGTAGATAAAAAAAACACTAAATAGCAGATTCTGGAGAGACACTGTTCACGCGCTGTCATCTTGGTCAGGCACTGTCTGGTTTTATCTGTCATTCTTGACATTGTTCTTAAAGTCGTTTTATTGACTGTGAGTGACTTTGTGAACCTAAAAAAAAGATCTGTAAACCTCATAAATCCATGTTGGTTCTCACAGTGTTCAAACCTTTTTTAACAGGACTGCTAAGATTATTTAGATAGAAGTGCTCTGAAAATGTTCTTTGTTAGCATGACTGTATCTCAAAAACATAAAAAATAGAAGAACCTGCTGGAACATTTGCAGCTAGTTTTTTTAGCATAAAGTGTTACTGTTTCCCTCTTTGCTGCATGTAATTCAACCTGAGCTTTAAAAAACAAAGCAGCATATGGTAGGCTACTTTGTGTTTGTCCTAGTTTCATTAAAATATGAGGTGTGAGTGATTTGGAACAGCTTGCACTCATGCATTATTCATTTATTTGTTTTAGATATTATAAAATGATGCTAATCATATTAAATAATCCATTAATTGTCCATGTAAGACAAAACACTGTTTAAATTAACCCCGACAGTGAATATTTATTTAGATCGGTTTCTTTGTGATAGGATCCATATCCACATAGATCTTTTTATATATAATCAGAATATTTAATATTTAATATAAATTCTCTAAAAGCCTTATTGAGGGTCAACTTAAAAGAAATTGTGGTAGTTCCTTCTTTGCAAACAATTTCCAATCAGAGTAGTACAAGGATAGAAAAAGAAATTAGGTGACAGTGTTTTGGATTCAAATCCCTACAGGAATGTGTACTCCCTTAAGCTTTACACTTTATAGCGCAAACATATTTCCAAAATCATGCAAAACATCACACTGCATATATTTCAAACAACGTCAAAATGTATTCACCTGACTTAGTGATATGACTGGATGACTGGATGTGTAAAGCGCTTTGGGGCCTTAGGGAATGGTAAAAGCGCTATACAAATACAGGCCATTTACCATTTTTGCACAGTGTACCAGGCACTCTTTTCATAATGAACTTCTATCTACTTCTTCTATCTACTTCTCCAATATTAGGGGAGCTCACACACGAGGGTTTACCCTGGTTATTTATATCAACATGTTGGAAACTTGCTTTCTGGGCTCTATTTCCAGGAAACAAGTTCATCAAATATTGAGTTTAAAACAGTTTAAAAATAAACCCTGAGATAAACCCTGAGTTCAGCAACTCTCAGTTCAGCAACTTTTCTTGGAACAGGAAACTGTTCCAAGAAAAGCTCATCAGAGTAAGTTGAATCAACTCTGAGTAGTAACCCTGGCACATGGGCGAGTAGGGAAATAAAGAACCCAGCATTCACCAAGGCAACACCATTTTAATCCAATGGGCAGAGAACATGTTTAATTTTTTAATAATCATGATTGTATTTAGATACATATTATAAAGACAATTAAATCTTTATAACTGTAAGTATATGTGGGTGACAGAAACTGATGATAAAAATGTGGAGAAACAGATCAGACAGATCATTGATGGACCTGTGATCTGCCCTCAAGTCTGTTTTTTTAGTTAAATAAAAACAGTTTGTGCTACAGTTTATGATTATTCCAGTGTTTGAGTAATTATTTAGTAACATTTTAATCTACTGATGGAATATAGCAGCCTCCCTTTTTTTAAGACAAGAATTTCTTTATTTTTGTTATTAATGGATAAGAAATGCTTAATAAGATTTCAAGGAAACTCTGCTTGAATTTCCCACACTGTAACCATTTCTAATATGATCTAATGTCAGCCTTAACTGATAAATAATGGCTCGCTCACACCCATAGTCAGAATTCAGTCATTGTTTCACATTTAACTGAAAAGTTTTTCAAGCGTTAGTTTCAACAGTAAAGGCAAACATGTTTTAAGAAATAGTTGAGCTTTTACAGAGTTAGTTCAGTAGTTTGGGGGCGATGATCCGTTTAAATAAAGACTGCAGATCGTGTCGAGAAAAATCAGGCTGATGTGAATGAATCTGGACAGGATGACCTGCATCTAGATCTTGATATGATATTAGTTTTGGATTTGTCCTGTTGTGCAAGACTCAGACCTGGACACAGTTTCCTTATGAGCTGCTTATGAGCTGTCATAGGTACTCTTTTCTTCTGAATGTTTGTCACTCCTTCTCGTGAATCGAAGTGATGCTGCTGCTTTATGAAAACTTGACCTAAATCACCATTGCAACTAATATAAGACAAATCATATGAGTCTAAAAGTTCACCAGGCCAGTGTCACTACATACCATCATAAGTGCCTTGAGTCAACTGTTGTTTCCATTTGGTGCTATGAGTGCAATTGAATTGATTTAAAACTAAATTAACCCTGACAGTGAATATTTATTTGATCTGTTTGTTTGTGATAGGATCCATATCCACATAGATCTTTTTTATATATAATCAGAATATTTAATATTTAATATAAATTCTCTAAAAGCCTTATTGAAGGTCAACTTTGTGGTAGTTCCTTCTTTGCAAACAATTTCCAATCAGAGTAGTACAAGGATAGAAAAAGAAATTAGGTGACAGTGTTTTGGATTCAGATCCCTACAGCAACGTGTACACCCTTAAGCTTTACACATTATAGCGCAAACATATTTCCAAAATCATGCAAAACACCACACTGCATATATTTCAAACATTGTCAAAATGTATTCACCCGACTTAGTGATATCTCACTGATTGCTCTTCAAATTACGTAGAATCAGGAATCATGCTTCACAGCTCCTCATGTGATGCTTTCAGATGTGTACAGATGAATTATCACTCTTAAGTCTGCAAGTACAAGGTGTGCAGAAATAGAGGTGCCAATAGAGTTTCCTGTTTGTCTAGAAGTGAGAATTACCAAACAACTATCAAGCAAATCTGGCAAACAACACATAACATGTGGTTACACACCTTATTCACACCGTGAGAAAAGGGCTGTAGTTTTTCTTTTTTTTCTTTTAGCTTAAATGCTTAAAGAGGAATTTTTATTGTGGCTATAGGTGGACTTGTTATTATTGTTCAAATACTGTGTGTTTGTTTGTTTGATTGTTATTTTGTTTTAGCCTGCACACGTCCAGCTTCACTTTCCTTTTTCTTTTTCATCTTGTTCCTCTACTACTTCCTCTTCTTCCTCTGCTTCATATCATACATTTCACATAAATATCTTTATAAACCCTTTAGTATAGCCAGTGTACCCACAGAAAGTATACTCTTAACCTAATAAGACCTATAACTTTTATAATGTTTAAAGTAGAGTCGCTGAGTGATTACTGTATGGTCTATGGTGACCTCTTGTGGTGGACAGTTTTAACTACATGTCTATGCTTTCTCGTGGCACAAAGCATGCTGGGAGAAAAGGTTTGAATTGTCATTGCAGAATTTAAATAAAGTATTATCACCTAGAAGCTACGACTCAGACTTTGGCAGCTGTAGACCTGACATCAAACAAAATATAAAAATAATAATGATACATCATATATATATATATATATAAATATATATATATATGTACATATATATATATGTAGATAGATAGGTGTGTGTGTGTGTGTGTGTTAATTGGAGTTCATATTGCTGTTTGTATACACGCTATGTTGTTGTATTTTGTGTTTTGGTAGTAGGGTATTTCTATACGGTATTCGTACCGACGCTCTCCAGTTGGCGCTGAATGAAGTCCCGATGAGGATGATTGACATTAGATCTGCTGACGAAAGCGGGCTGAAGGGAATCTCGGCAAAGTAGGAGTATGTAGATAACGGAAATCGCTTGGGATTCCTTTCTAAATAAAAGCGTTAATGCTCTTTAAGCGCTACAAGACTGTCCGCACGCGAGGCACAGTAGGGAAAATAGCACAGTTATAACGTAGATGTTTTCTGTGAAGCTAATATATATCCCACATTAGAGTCGCACAAAAACGGCAAGACTTTGAAATTAGCGTTTTTAAAAGGAAACTTTTAGTTTGAAAGGACATCCCGGTAGTCTTTTTAATGGTTCAGTTGGCTTGACAACTTCGCGAAGGGATACGAAGATTACAACAAGTGGATATGACAAGTTACTCAGTCCGAATGACTCAGTAAGAATGTTCAGCATGGATAGACTATAACTTAAAAATAGTGAGCATGTACGGATTGTTAGGTCGTTGCTAGCCTCCAGGGACACTTTGCGGCCGTTATGCTTCAGCTCACAGCAGACTGACTCATCTTTGCCCACTGTCACTTGTTGTGCACTCTTATACGTTATAGACAGTTTTTCCCTGTTAGAGTTATACTATAAAATTTGACGACTATAAATTATTGTAAGTACGATGCTAAAACTCGCAGGTGACAACGTCATGGCCCACCGAGTCTGAGTAACAGCGCATTTTGGGAGCGAGCCCCGCTAATCTCAAGTTGGAGACAGTCTCAGCGATGAGCGCGTCCTCAAAGCCGCCTTTAGGGTAAGTAGCCCATTTCTAAACATACACTCGACACACCAGACTATTTACAACTCAGTTCGTGTGTGAGTGTTTTTTCTTCTGATTGTTTACGTAACATTAAAAGAAGTTTCTGGATAATTGTAATAATGTCAGCTGGAAATTTGCCTTGGCTGAATGCTTAAACATAACAGTCTCTAATTTCTAGTCTTACTATGAAAGCCATAACCTACTAATGGGTTCGGTTCTAATGTTCCCGCGATATTATAGGGTGCTATTTGTTTTAAGTTTGTTTTGTTTTTTCTTTTTTTTACCACGGCAATGAATTATTGTAGATAGGCCCGTTGCCCATTCAAGTGTATATGACTGCCCAGTAATAACACACAGCCTATAGTCAGCACCGACAACAGAGAGTGTTCCAGCAGCCCAGTCTGTTTGCCACACACATAGGAAAAACCATGAGCGGCTTAGAAGCACATAATATTTTAACTGTGTCCTTGGTGGTTCATGGAGAGACATTAATGAAGATCTGGTGCTGGAACAGCAACAACTGTGAACTGTACTTTCCAAAGGCTCCTTTTAATTGTGTAGTTTGGGTGGGGCCGCCAGTTGCATATTGAGCCTGCCATTTAAAACCAAACATAAACTAAATGCAACCTGATTATCCTACATGTTATGAGAATTTATATTAGGGCACACTCCAACAGATCATACCAAGTAACTCCTTATCATCTACTGTACATTTGAATGCCAAAACATGCTATTGTTGGCGACAGAGTCCACACACTATGATTGCAGGTCTTAGTCTTTCACATGTTGTTGTGCTACAAGGGGATAAAAGTAAGTGTTTACCACCCTAAAAGCAGTATTGCTGATTTATGTTTACCAGTCTGTTTGTTTTTGTTGTCCAGGGGTAGAAAGGCAAAATATAAAAGGCCAAATTATAGCCTTCATCTGCCTATGTTTTTAATAATATGTCATAATAGTCAGTGTCTGTTTTTTGTTTTGTATTTTACTGGGTGATCAGCAAAAGAAAATTAGTGTGCAATGTCCTGGTGAGCTGCTCTGTCTTTCAGCATCATTATGTGGTACTTGGGTGCTAATTATGGTCATACCTGTGTACTTGAGAGCCCCTGTCGTTGACCTTGTCAATTCTGATCTAATTTAGATGAGTCATACCTTTTACTCAGCGGGACACCATAAAAATGCCATCGTCCATGTGCTGTAGTTATGTAGTAATAGTTCACTATCGTATAAACAGTAAAATGTGATGTTCTTCAGGGGAAATACCAGCAACACTTGATAGTGTTGATGAGGTGAATACAATTTTGGTCTTTTCTTTTTTCTCCTGCTGTGACCTTTAAAGCAAAGGTTCCTTTAACCAGATACTCTTAATTACAGTGAATCCAGACTCTTAAGTGCTTGTTGGCCAAATTATAAAGCGCACAGGTCACGGAGGTAGCTGGCAGTGGAAGCAAAATGGCTTTTTATCTGCTCTTTATGTGACATTTCTTCCCATTTAAATCTACCTTGACAACTTTTGTTCTGTGATCTCTCTTTCGTCATCACACAGGGAGTAGCTACTTTACTACATAGTGCCGCCCTCGTGAAACACAGCTCATAAAACTGCATTAACATGCAGCACAGTCAAACAGTCTGGGAAGAGACCATTGATTGCTTTTCTTCTTCTTTTTTTTTTTTAACTTTTGTACCTGGCTAGTGAAATCTGAGAATGTGCATGTTTGATTGTGTATCAGTGCTTACAAAGCCTGTTTTTATCAGTAGTGCAAAGTTGGACTGAATAAGGCCTTAGTTCCTAAGCTTTAAAGAAAGTCTAATTAGGCATGAATATAACGTTTGATTGTTGTTGGCTTTTTTTTTGTGCTTGTTTTTGTTTGTTTCTGTAATACTGTGGGGTCTGCAGTTTACAATATAAGATGTATAGATGACAGTTGTTGTGTAAATTGAATTGAATTGAATAATAGAAACAAATGATTTCCCAGTGAGAACGTTACAGAAAGTCAGGATGAACATCCGACAACATGTGTCCTCATCTGAAGCAAAATAGTTTTCATTACTTAACCTCACCCTCTTTTTTTAGTGTGTGTTCATTGTATTTATACCAGACTAGTCCTCTTTCTCGAAATCTTAATGAGCACACTGGTGTTTTCCTCTGCATGTCTGGACCTGGGGTGTTTGTGTGTCAATAAGCGACTGCCTCTGTACTTGTTTGTGTGCCGAGCGAGGTTGAGAGCAGAAGCGTCTGTTTAATATGGCTTTATTTCATGGTCTTATGGTTAGTACACGACCCCACAGAAGCAATAAGGAAACAGCACAGTGGCTTAAATAAATGGAGAATTAATTAAAGCAGAACCACTGAAATAAATTACAAATTTACAGAATTCCCCACTTGTTTTTTTCTTTTCTTCCATCCTTCAAAGTGTTTTACTGAGGTGGTAAAAGTTTAATAAGAATTCTTTTCTCTTTTCTTGAGACGCCGTTGATGCATGTGACGTCAGAACCTTGTGAGTTTACTTTGGTCACATGGTTCAGTCCCCAGTAACAATCATCCACCCAAACCTCACATTTGGTCCCACTTATTAGCTGTTCAAAGGGCCTCTTGAAGCGCAAAGAGCAAAAGAAAAATAAAACAGCCTTACCACCGTCAACGTCCAGATTTGTGCTGTCATGTGCTTCATCGCTGGTGGGCCACACATCCTACTTTAAACACATCTGCAGTTTTTTTGGTTTATTTGTTTTGGTGCCCAATCAAAAACACACCCCCAGGAAGATGGGGTTGGAGATTTTACAGATAAATTCTGTATGCATGCATACAAATACACACACCCAGAGGTAATTACTGCATGCCACGCTGCCTGTCCTGTTGTATGTGGATGTCTGTGTGAACTAATAAGTGATGTATATGAAGAGAGGTCTCGCCTAGCTACAGTCAAAAACGTCCGTTACTTTGAAGCATTTGAGTCCGCTGAACTCAAATGCCATTCTTACTGTTTGACTGTTTGCATAGCATTTGAATGCCATTTGTGTTGCACACGTATAGATAGACTAAGAGTAATCTAAGATAGCATACTGTATGTCTTTTCCTAGCTGGTGTCTCAGATGATTTTAAGACAGAAGCAGACATAACCTTTCCAAACCTCACACCCACTTCATAAAATATTAAGGTCCATGTGGTCGGCCACTAACTCAGGGCTGCTGACTAAGGGAGTTCCCTTCTTTTTGTTTTTGCTCGGAAGCCTATACAGTGTGCATATTTAGCAAAGGGCGTACATGGTAACAGCTGGACGCTTAGTGTTATTTTTATGATGAGTTAAATTTAACTCATGAAAGCTGAGATGGGAGAGAGAGGGTTGCGTTTGAGGCTATGCGTTGTTGGCAGTAGTGCAGTATGTATCTGGTAATGTCTGCATCTAGCTCTCAGGCCATCCCGTTTAAAATAGAGAGGGTGTGGATGCAGTGCAAGCCTGTTCAGCACACGCTGATGGAATATATTGGCTCAAAAGCACAAGACTGGCGTATAATCTTTATGTGAAGTAGTTAGCTTATTAATTAAATTAACTGGAAGTGCTACTCCTTTAATTAACAACAACAGTGCATTTTACAAGGCCAGGCACAGTAGGATGAAATTAATCAGTCCTTGGGCAGCGCACTACCAGGCAGCACTTATGCTCATAAGATAGTTACTCCAGCACAATGCTTCGTTATATCAGTGACATTTCAGACATTTAGACTGGCCCTATTTATAAACTATCGTGATCCTTAGGTTCACTACATTATCCACTCTGTTTTCTTCCACTTGTCAACCTCTGCCCCCACCCTCCCTCTCCCTGCAAAAAAAGCACTAGCAGACACCTTACAACAAAGTAGTGCTTGTATATTTGACAGTATCTACAGTACACTGTATCTGCCTGTATTGTGCAGCTGTTATGCACTGCTCAGATTTATTTCTGGAAGCCTGCTGTCATATGTTAGTCTCTGTGGTATGTGTGTTTGTCACAGAGGAAGACAGACGGACTGCATGTGTGTGAGTAAAGCTGGGTGGATTCATCTAGCTGATGTGATAAAGCAGAGGTATTGGAGTGTTCAATGTGATAGATTTGCACATGTTTAACCTTTGAATGTTTCTCCCTGCTTTTGCCTTCATTGCAGAGAAAGATAAGGAATAACCTGTAATCTTATCAGTAATTTACCAACATGTGACATTTTTAAGCTATTATTATTAAACACATAAAGGGTATCAGAAGGGAGCGCATGCAATCTTTTTTCACGTTGGCAAACCTTCCTTTAAGGCATGGCTTTCTGCCAAAAGTTATGAATGAATGCTTTTGTACTTTTTCCCCACAAATGCTGTGATAATATTTCACTTTTCAGCTTTTCTGAAGCTTTACACTGATTTGTGTTATATATATATATATTTTAATTTTTGCTTCTTCTTTTCTTCCTGTCACTCCAGCAGGAGTTCTCTCTAATTGAACAAGCAGCAGCTTAGGGAATAGAGAATAAACTAATTATTATTTCCTGCTGTTGTTCCTCTACATTCCACTCTTTGCTCCACCCTTATTATTCCCTTTCCCCCTGTTCCCCCTCGACACAAGGCTTTGTGTCACCTGAGATTCCCTCTTCTCTCTCTTTCTTACTAACCATTTATTGTCTTTTTTTTGTTCTCTTACTTCTGTTGGTCTGTTTGCCACCCGTGAGCTTTACCACAATGTAGCTGGAACACAGGGAAATGCCCTCTGGAACAGGCCAGTTAATAAATGTTCAAAAAAGACCAAATAAGAAAAGGAAAAAACAGGCATGATTTTTCCAGCTCTGCAGACAGTCTGTTAAGTCAGCTTCCTGTTCCTGTATTTGGAGAATTGTGGTTGTCTTGGTACATGTTTTGTGCTAAACTGTTTACAGCATGTCTCTTAGTCACTGGTCACAAGCAGACATGATAACTATATATGTCAAAAGAGATGAATACAAAAAAGAGGGTTGATGTGTAGTGGTGCTATCCACAGTAGGTGGATTTTTCTCTTTAGTTGTGAAATAAATACTCTGGGTTGTGGTTAAATCGTTGGTGAAATTACATCCTACGTCCTAATCATTTTTTCCTTGAGGTCTTCCATGAGTTCAAGGAATGACGTGAAGCAAAAATCAAAAGGAGACAGACGAATACTTTAGCAGTGCTAAACTCGTGCACATGCAGAAGGCTGTGGTGAATTTGTGATGTCCCAAAGATCACTCAGAGACAGCTGTAAATATTTTATCCTGTGCATTCTTGCCATGTTTTATGCAGGCTATAAAAAACATCAACTCTTTAAAAAATATTGTTTCCCTTACATGCTAGAAATAGCAGCGAAACAAAAAGGTTTTTACAATAAGAATAGTTGCTCTTGTCCATACTTAAATATAAATTAGCACCAATCTAACTGTAGAAAATAATTGTTACATTTATAAAATATTGATAACCTTTGAATGTAGCTAATGCAATGGGATGGTATTATCCTTTTGTAAAAGCTGGTCTGGTACATCCTGTGCTCAAGCATTGAACCAGCTTTGATTAGCATTTAAAGAATTTAAGCAGGACTGCCTCTTAGATACCTCATGTCCTTTCAGTCCGTCCTCCTCTAAGAAAAAAAAAGACAGTTTGACCACAACCGTGGATTACTGGTTGCTGGTTCCATCTGAGGTTATTGAGTTAGCTAACTGTTTAAGAGTGTAAGCAACCTAATTGATCCCATGAGTAACAAGTCATTTAGCACCTGCGGTGTTGTGGGTGTTCCTTTTTTTTTTGTTAATCTCCCACGGGTTATTACGGTCTCTGCACACATGTTGATCAGACTCTGCAGAGCCCTAACTTGGTTCTTTTGGAGAAGTCAGGACTTGATAATCAGGTAAATTAAAGTTTCATACAAACTAAAAATATTAACACTGGAGCCTTCGGGGCTATTTATAGTATGTAATAAGGTTACAGCTTGTATGCAAATTTAGTGAAATGTTTTGCATTTGGGCAAATGAGACAGTAAAACCGGATATGATTTATCAGTCTGAGGAGAGCTAATGATTGTATGCTGCCTGCAAGCCTAGACCATTATTATGGCAACACATTTGTTTGTATGTCTGTTAAGAAAATCAGAGGTTCAAAAATAAATGTTGACATTTTTTCATTTGCTTCTCTATGCTTTGTAATTTTCACTTTGCTGTAGTGAGAGGGACAGCGGTGAGACTGTGAATATAGAGGATGAAGCTGGCATTTCCAGACTCGGTTTACTTGACATTGAGATGCGGTGGGGGTTAAGCACATTGATAGTAATATGAGCATCAAGACATATGCTGAATTAGAAGGTTTTGTGACTAGCAACTGCAAACAAATGCTTTACTTGGCTCATATGTCCAATTTCAGTCTTCCACACTCTGTCTCTTGTTCATTGGTGTTTCTCCGGGTCACTCACCCTGGGTGTGCATGCCTCTCCAGTCCACAGCTGCTACTGGACTAAGATCTGCCTTCTTTTGCAGTCAAGTGGTGTAAATATAGGTTGCCACGGGGACACCATGACACTCAAAGGGTATGCTGACTAGATGCATGTGTGGAGGGAGAACCTGAGTGTCCCGGATGTGTGGTGCACACTCTGTGTCTATTGCGTAATCAGGTGAAAACGTAAGTCGGACTTTTCAAATGTGTGATTACTGGACAAATACATGAAAGAAATATAAATGATTAATTCTGATAAGACATATAAAACATAAAAATATTTTTTGTGCTTTATCTAGATTAAGCTTAATGTTTTTTTCTTATAAATTAAATTTAAAAGAAGCCTTTTTTTAACAGATGAATAAAGAAGTGTGCCAGGGATCCTGCAGTAGCCTTTCGGCATATGGGTCACCTGCTCAACCCACTCAAAAATGTGTTTTGATGGTTCTGATAGAGGATAATATACTAGGATCATGCACTAGTATATCTGGATATTGGGTTGATAAGATCTTGGAACGTGGGACCATTTACAGTGTTTCCCTGACAAATAAGGATAAATGATACATTGTCTAACCTTTATTTCTTCCCTATTTAAAAACAAAGTGAAGGTGGTCTCCAGTATGTATTTAGTATTATGCAATCTTTTTACCAAACAGGAATAATCTTAACTCTGACGTACACATTGGCAGTGTTTACATTTTGTAGTGTAATATGTGTGCCACCACACAAAGTCATGCCTTAACATTCAGTCACGATTTAACCCAAGTGTCTTGATCAAGATTGAGCATAGTAATATTCAGGTTATAGAAGAGGTAAAGCATGTTTTCAAATATTTATTTATGTGCCTTCTGGTAATTTTTTATAGCTGCCCACATGTTCTAATTTCAGATGCACCATAGACTGGAGCCCGGCTGATGCTGAGGGTTAAAAACTTCTGACATTGCTGTATAAACCAATAATTTTTTTTATATATGTGAATACATTGCTATAGACTTCTTTTTTTTTTATTAGAAGGGAAACTGATGTTTACTCCTGTGCAGAAAGTATTGTGGACAGATTTTTTAAAGGAATTTTAATAGAGGCCAGCAAAAGAAATCCATCCTTGTTAATGCTGTTTTGTCGCGTAAAATGAACTATCCATTAGTAACCTTTTCTGTGTGTGCAGGTGTGTATGTGTGTGAGCATTGTAACTTAGTCTCTTCAGCAGCACTTACTGCCCCCCTGTGCCAGAGCTGGGTTTCCTTTTGCGTTTCATTCCTTGGTGCTTCTTTACTTTCCCACTCTTTCTCTCTGTTTACGCTCATTCTAACTCTGTGGGAGACTAGGCTTCTTCTAAAGGAGTCTTTGTACATGTTTGAGCGAGGAAAAGCGAGAGAGAGAGAGGGAAAGGGAAATGTTACGGTGAGACAAACAGCAAGCGAAAGAGAGAGGAGGATACTAGCTGCCTGTGTTAAGCCTGGCCAGGACCCAGTCCCACAGTTCCACAGAGCCCTGTGCTGTTTACCTTAAAAGACTCAGAGTTAACAGGAAAATGCAAAAAGTCTCTCACAGTTACAGGTCTGTAAGTCTGCTCTTTCATCACTACACACAGTTTTAGGTGCGTATATAGTCAGAGATTTTCTAGTCAATAATTAGAAATGACGTGCACTGTGATTTGACTCCAAATTCCAAAAAGTGAAACATTCTCACTGCACTGGATAATGAGTCAATGACTCTATGAGCCCTTTGGGCGAGAGTTAGTTTATATGTGACGTAGCTGTTAATGGTTAACTTTAGCCAGGTTAGAGTCCACTCACTGTGCTATGTCCATGTGCAAATGTCCTTCATTTTGCTGTCTTTAAACTGGGCAGGGATAAAGTCGAGAATACTGGATTGAACAACTTCGGAGTCTACAATTAAATGCTTACACTGATTCTTCGGGGTGTCTTCCGAATCCTTGGAACGAGAGTTAAACAGTCTGATATATAACACGTTCGGAACACTTAATCAGCACAAGGACTGTTTTTGATGTGAGTGGGATGTTTTTTCTTTTCTTATCCAAGGCTAATACTTGAGAGATTGAGTGTGTGCTTAATCATATGGCACTTGTCATTGCTAAGAGAATGAACTGTTTCATTTTTGTCTAATCAGCTGTGTCTGTCAGGGCAAGTACAGTTTATGTTAAGCCGAGGTCAAACACACAAGAAGGAGCTTGTCATTGACATCTGTCACAGTGCTCACGAGGAGCTGTGTGGCTGGAGTATGTTTTGCATCTGCGTTCGTTTTTTTAATTTGTGATTTTCTTAAAAGTATTTTAAAGAGATTCAATGATGCGTGGTCTGCACCCTGGCCCATTCAGTACTTTATGGCTTTCTTTATTTCTGTTAAGAAAAACAAACCCAATAGAATTTCTAATTTTCTCAATGCTGCTACAGTTCTGTCAGCCCAATTTTGTATTACTGTTTATAACATTGTTGATTCATAGGTTCAGATATGTTTATACATTCTCCTCAGGGGTGGAATAAAAATGGATGAGGGGTGTTGTTTCTGTCAAAGCAGGGATGTTAATTTGCCTTTGGAAAGCTGTTTGATAGCAGGCATTGATTGTAGGAGTGTAGGAGTGATATTAAAGAGGCAATAGACCAGATAGATTGAACAGCTGCAAAAGGCTCAGAGATCTTGATAACCAAAATAATCATCTTGGTGTGTCTGTAGTTTGTTATGTAATCTAAATGAAGGGAAAGTTATGTCACAATCAGAAACAGAAAGATAGAAAAAAAGTCAACATTAGTATTCCGGCTGCCTCTGATGTGGTAGCAGTGGGTTGTATTCATAGGCTGTCATGTTGTGTAACTGACTGAACTTCAGAAAAATACAGTAATGATTCAGAGGAAACAGACATATTTATAATATCTAATTTGTTTGTATAAAAATAAATACGTCATTAGGAAATTTTAAAGTATTGTATCATATGAAAAGGATGGCCTGAAATAGAAAAAATATTCTTATTTGTGTATCTCTCCAACTTTCATCACCAAGAAGGAGGATGAAGGCCCATGCCCCACCTCCACCACCGGCCCCTCAACCCGCTCCACGCCATATCTTCAGAACCACTACACCTGATGGGGGAGGGACATCAGGCATGGAGGCCAAGGAGAACATCCTGAGGGCCGCAGTGGATTTACAGTTAACCCTGCCACAGGGCAACCAGATTTATGTGACTGAGGATGGAAGGTGAGAAAAAATAGGCCCACACAAGCCCATATCAACCATAGTTTTGATTTGTTCATTTTATTGTCACATGTATCATGACCAAAGGTTTTGCCCATTAATCTCATATTATTTGACTATAAAATCTTCATATATCTGTAGCTATTTTATTATTTATATCTCGAAATACAAATCTAATCTAACCTTAGTTTATTGTTAGTTCTGCGATATGATTCTATAGGTTGATCTTCATTCAGTCACCAGAAAAACTGTATGTTTGTTGCTCCTGTGCATGTTTTGTTTGCTGTGCCAGCGGGGCCTCGTTAGGGGGTTCCATTCCAATTTCCAACACAAGCTTTGTCCCAGCGAGTCAGTGGCTGACCTGCTAGTGCTCTCTGTCCCTAATGAGGCAATTGTCTCTAGGGCAGAAAATTGGGGATGTCTCTCTTGTATAAAACAACAAGAGACTCTTTTAATAACTATAGAGAATGTATCACCATCAGATGCCTCTGTATGCTCATCACCAGGAAAACTATGTATCATATTGTTGTCATAGAGGCTTTCTAACATGCAAAACTAGTATAATAGAAGAGGGGCCTGAAAGCTGAAGGCTCTGCCCCCCATTCCACTTTTAAATATTCCAGAAACCACAGGTTGTTATGACACTATGAAGGTAAGACCTTGTATGACCTTCTGTGTTTAATAGAAGATGGTAATATTATGATCAATGCTGCTTAAAACATCAGAACCTGTTGCTATGACTGTCACGATCCTGGGTCTTTTGACCCAGCGTTTTGAGTTTTAGTTTATGTTTAAGCCCTTCAGGTTTTCTAAGTTCATTTTTTATCATGCCTAGGTTCTTCTAGTTCTTTGTTATTAGATTCCCCTTGTGTCTTCCACCCCTGTTAAGTCTCCCTTGCCCTTCATGTGGTTCATGTCTGTGTCTTACGTTGTCAAGTTCAGGTTGTCATGTCATGTCATGTCTTATGTTTCCTGTTTTATTTTGAAGAGGTCTTGTGTTCCTGTGTTCATCGTGTCTAGTATTACTCTTCCACTGTGACGTTGTTATGTTCATGTGTGTCAGCTGTTTCCCCCATGTGTTCCCACTTCTCTCATTAGTCTCCTGTGTGTATTTAGTCTGTGCCTTCTCATTCAGTCTTTGTCAGATCGTCTGTGTTTTCCCTTGCCATGTCCTGCTTTCAGGTTTTTCTCACCACATTGCCATGTTTAGAGTTTCCCTATGTTTTCAACTTGCCAGGGTTCTTCATGTTTCCTTTCTAGTTTACCCAGTTTAGGTTATTGCTTAGTTTGCATTGTTTTCGCCCTTTTATTTTGTACTGTTCTGTCTGCTTTAATAAACGGTTCATCATCAGTTAAGTTTGAGTTTGAGAATGTCTGCGCCTGGGTCCTCTCTTCGCACGCCACGCAGTTTGCCTCGGGAAACTGTGACAATGACAGAGGGGTAAACACAAATCATTCATACAAAGGCTCATTCACCATCTCCACCCTAAGGTCAAAGGGTGATATAACCTGTGATAACAGGTGATATAAGTCTCCTCATAGACTTATATCACCTGTTATATTCTATAGTGATAGTTAATTAGTGATTAAATTCAAGGACTAAAAATAGCACATACAGGAATGTGCCAGAACATTGCAACATATTGTTTTATCTTGTTTACGGTTATGGGCTTGGGACTTTTTAGTTTTATGTTTTGTGAACGTAAGGACAGATTGTCTCATTTAAACACATTCCAGTCATGACTATACCAGAGATGACGTAATTCTCTACTTTAAAAATAAGTGAAACAGTGGTTGAATAAAGATATGGCATATCTTTGCATTCTTCTGATCTCATAAACTTCAGTTATCAATGTAAAGTTCCAGTGTTTGTTTGTTTTTTTTTACTTTCATTCCTGCGTTATTAATCCTGTGATTAAGGGAAGTTGTGCCTCACAAAGGACTCAGAAACTCTCAGAGGCTTTGCTCTAGTTGACGCACCTTTGCTGCTCTCTTAAAGCACAAACTTATTTTACAAAAGTCGAGTAGTCATGTTAAATAAACATGATCTCAGTATTGACAAAAAAGAACAAGCTTTAGGATATTTGCTATAATCAATCACCACGAGCGGGTTTATTTTGTAGGATTTAAAAATAGCGAAAAATGTGGTGCAGATATTGCACTAGTCATTTACAATGCAGGAATGATAGTATATGTTATTACTGAATTAATACTGTTGCTTAGGCAGTTAGTTACTTATTTAGTTTTTATCTGGTTGTGTGTTTTTGTTGTCATGCTCATATTAATATTATTATTACACCTAATATATTATTTTTATGACCGCAGTGTCACACTTCATGAATGATCTACATGCCCTGTGCACCCTCGTAATGTAATTTGTCACACTTTAAATATTTACGATAGGTACTTGAAACTACAGCTTAGTAATGCTTGACCATAACATGGTTAAAAATGACCCTATGTGAACCAGGGAGGTATATATTCAGTGCTAGAGTAAATACATAGAAATAAATTGAGTAAATGCTTAGAGACAGTCATTATGTTTTGGCATGTTTTGTATGAAATGAATCTCGAGAAGCACACCAGACACTGGGTCTGTTTTTGGTTTTAGTTGCAGTCTGCATCCATGTGTTAGTGATTGTCAATGGTGCTCTTTGTAGCAGTATCTCTCTCAGTTCTGTCATCTGATCTCTGTTCCCAGAAAACATTGGAGACTGTTTCTAGGTTTCTTTATGTGAGGATTGACAAGTAGTACTATAGGCCTCCACATGAGCACCGCAATCCAAACAGCACACAAAGCAATGGGCATAAGTGAATGACAGAGGCATTATTTTTTATGCCCAGTGCTTTGTCACTACCTTTTTTGTAAAGACTCTTAGATGGACTGCACAGGTGAAATCTTCAGCAACCACCTTACCTTTTATAGAGCATATGGACGCGCTCAGGTTTTAGGTCTACTTCACATACACTGTGTTATCTTTCAGTCAGAGTTTTGCAATATTAAACAATAACATGGATTTTGTAGGGGTTTAAAATGGATAAGAACATTCTCAGAAAAAGGTGCTACTAATATACAATCAACCTCAAATGAATGAATGAATGAATGAATTTGTACAGAAAGAATTAAGATGAAGGCAACGTTTTGATGTTCATATTTAAATCACTGCTGCTGTCATTGTATCTGTATTTTGTCTGTGGAAATGGCTTAGATCAAAATACCACCTATTGCTTCTAACATTTTGAAGTGCATCAAGTGAGAGTGTGGCATTGTTTCATTCTGTTCTCTTTACTTCAGCTAAGCTTCGAAGACTTTGTAACCCTAGCTTTTGTCCTGCCTCCCTTTCTTCTCTTCTCATCTCCTTCGGCATTTCTTTCTTAAACACACACACTCACACACACATACACACACACACGTTTCCTCTCACTCCTATTATCTCTCTCTTTGCCTCTCAGTAAAGCACTGATGGATCTGCTGGTCGAGCTGTGTAGTCGCTACCACCTGAATCCAGCTCTGCACACTTTGGAGGTTCTGTCTCCTGAGGGCCGGTCTTTGGGCTTCAAGCCCAACGCACTGTTGGGCTCCCTTAACGTGGCCTGTGTGCTTATCAAGGAAAAAGTCTTGGAGGAGAAAGTGGCGCGCAGACCAGCACCCAAAGTGCCAGAGGTGAGTTGCAGTGGATCCTGACACCTTGAGCTACCTCCTCTTTTGTCATATGTGCTTTGTATGTTGCACTATACTGTTACAGCATATTTAAAACCTGCAAATGTTTTCTTTTTTATGCCTGGCTTGGATTTGTGTTGTTTTGATTGCACAAAGGGTTATCTCATGTTTTCACAAATCAAATTTGTATTCACTGCAAGTCTTATGTAATGCCTGTCCCTCTCTGCCTTTTATCACTGACCACTGGCAGAAAGCATGGCCAGTGAATCCTGTAAGGGCCATTTCTAAGGTAGGAAGCTGGTTGGTATTAAACTGGCCAGCATTTCAAAGTCCCTTATTGGAGTTTATAAACTGATTTTAAGTCTAGTGTGCTTTTTCTGCCTTACTGTCTGTCTGGATGTTTTATTCTATTCAGCATCAATCTCTTTCTCTCTGCCTTTTCTTTTCTTCGCCTTCACTCTCCTCCTACTGTTTGAATATTTGATGAGTACCTTACCTTTAGTTACCATGCATTATTTCTCTGCTCTTCTCAGGGCTCACTGGCTGCTCTCTCTCCCTTTGACCCCACCTGGCCTTAGGCCAGAGGCTGACACTGTTTCAGACAGCCCTGTCAGTCATTGGTCTTCTCTGTTTTATCTCACATCTTCTCATTATGTAACCAATTTGAACAGCTCAAATGAAATAGCTTGTTTTGATTGCCAGTGTATTGGATCCACCCAGTAGTCTAATATGTTAGCCCAGCAATAAAGTCTACGGTTATGGAAGATATCGTTCACACTGCTATTGAAATGTGTTTTGTTGATATGAATGGGGTGTTCAAAATGTTAGAAACAAAATTCAGTAAAATGCAAACATTTAAAATTAGTGTAGTACCTATAAAATTGTCAGAAGTAAGGAATCACAATACTTTATTAATCCCTAAGGAAATTATGTAACTAAACGGATTCACTGAACAATAGTTAGCGATAAATAAACTGT